ACTAAATGCTTATACTTTGGTAGTGTAAAAGCTGCACTCACCGCCTTGAACAGCGACGACGACTGAAAGACTCTTATCAGCCCCTATTAGTAGGTATCGCTCCTAATCCACCACCGTTAATAACCCCATTGCACCCTCTGTATCATTTGCTGAAATTAACGCCTACCCTGATTCTGTCACTCGCGTTATGAATATGGTGGCCTTTCCCTTCTGAAGCCCCATGTCGAATCTTATCAGCAGCTCGTAGTTCTTGTCACCCAGAAATAATATTCTTGGCCCGTACCCTATATCTTGGAATCAAGAGCTAGCTGGTGCTGTCACCCGTGCTATGAACATGGTGACCGTCCCCTTCTAATGCCTCTTGTCAGATCTTAACAGCAGATATCACACCCTATTACCCACCAATAACGTTCCCTTCCCAGACCCCTATATTATGTCTTGGAACCAAAGTCCCACTGCTCTGTGACCGGCGTTATGAATTTCGTGACACACAGACAGACGGACACACACAGACATATTAAGCGGATTAGAGGTGGAAGCTGAGAAGTTGTGAAATTCTCGCTGTCAAAGTGAAGTGGAGCTTCGAGGATGGATCGTCGTCGAAGACAGCAACATACATCGTATATCATCGATGGAGACAAATTATCCAGTCGCTGTATTCTAGTTCACTATTAGTTGTATCTCTGTGTGTGGTCAATGGTTAATGCTGGAATTGCAGTTCGGCTCCTGTTCTTTTTGTGTCTTCGAATGAATGATCGAATTTCATGACTGAGAAGCGACGATGTCAGTACCTATTCTTATCCAGTGAATTCCAACCTTTCATAACTTCCTCCAAAATGCAATGTCTGCTATTTGGCCATCATGACGGTTCAACGCGGTGCCTGGCTTGTCTTGTCAATGTAGCACAGCTGCTCAAACCTGCAGATTAGGTTGTCTAACCTTCATCGTGGGTGCTTGTGGGAAAGCATCGAGTGCCATGTCCGCTCAGCGTCATCAGCACATTGATCAAATTTTACAGATCCCATAAATTATTTGCAACTCCGAATACAGTTGGTTAGTCTCCATGTTCGCCTTTCTTGTAACCTGGGCATTTCTAAATAGGCTCAATGTTTCTTTACTATGCCGTACAGGTTTTTATGGTGGAAGTGTTTATTTTGCCTGACGTTTCGACGGTATCGTCATTATGAAAGGGCATATTGAAACTTATGAAAGCTATTGATCCTGTTGAACCTGAACCCGTTCTTGACTAGTTGCAACCCAGACCAAGAAACTACCAACGAAAGGGAACTCAAACTTCAGGTTACCTTTCCACTCCCACCAGCACCAACGATCTGCTCGATTTCGACACAATGGAGCAAGTGAGACTGACCGAGCACTGCTACAGGATGATAGTATGCACGTGCAGTGCATCATGTTCTCACTGTTAGAAGCTCACACAGTGGAATATAGGGCAAGAAATCGGCCGTTATTGAGATGCACTCATTCCTGTTATTCATACATGGATTACGGTGCCTAATCCAGAACGCCTCAAGGGTTTTCCGGGCACCAACATCGTTTTCGTAGGCCAATATTATGCACTTAACGCTAAAATCACAGCCATCATGGTGTTCTCTTCTATGCCTGCCGAGCGGTGCAATCAAACTTTCCCTTCGCTTGCTTGCTAGATGTTCTTTCACGCGTACGCCTAATGCCCTCCCAGTTTCACCAATATATAATGCGCCACACGTTAAACACTCGATTTGGTAAACGACAGCCCTTTGTGTACAGTCACCAAGTTTCCCATACGGACAGATCACGCAGTTCTCCGTGGTGCATATTCGGTCGTAAAGGCGATTTCTGACCAATTGGTGTTTGATATTTTCTCTTGGTGTGTTCATCAAAAGAACATCGTTGGTAAAATCGGCTCTCCGAAGGCAATGTTGTATTGCTGCGGCGAAGTTGGTTAGGTTGATGCATTAGGGCTAACATTTCACGTGTTCAGGACGGATCTGCTTACATATTAATGTGCGCATGTCCAAGCCTAGCGTCCTTAGACCTCCCATCTCCCCTGAATATTCGCTTCCTTTGAGCGTGCTGGGCAAGGTGGATAGTTCCACAAGCGACATTCCCATACGAACCTCCCAGACCGGCTCGAAAATCCGTCAGAACTGAAGGCAAATGTCTAGTTGGTAATGTCACGATTGTTTCGAAATGACATTACCCCAACGAAAGGCAGCCGCCGCTACGTTCTGAAGTAAGCAGACACGCCTTCCACATTTTTAGGGTTTAATGTGTTCTTGTGCCGCGAAAAAAACACCCCTGCATCCCATGATGCTTTTTCTGAGTGGGGGAAAACAATTAGACCTAATTTCCAAAAAAAAACAGGAGGTGAAATAAGCGTTTCACAAACAGGAACGTAGGGAAATTGACGAGGATGTTTTGAGCTTTTGCAGTGACTCTGCAAAAGGCTCACGCCACAGCTCACCTGCTACGAATTCCTGCGAAGTGGTGCAACATTGTCCATTGTCCACGTGATACTTTGTTTCCTGATTTTTCTTCAGTTCTAAAAGATTCAATTCATTTTAAAAGAGCAAATGGATGAGAGATCACCTCTCGTTTGTTCTCTTCCATATTTTGGTATGAAGAAGTGGCTAGCACTTTTATCAATAGTTAAATTATTGTGATAATAAGCGAAGTGCCTCCTCTTTGGTAGAGACGTCCTTAGTCTCAATAAGAGCACCTTTTTCATAGCTGAAAAAAGCCTTCTCAAGCGCTCTCAACAGGTTCCATGCATGGTAGTCCAGAAGAAAAACATTGGTTTCAGTTTTCTTCTCCAGTACATGCTTCTGAGAAAACTTATGGAATCGTAATGGCTAAATGAATACTGCGATGGATTCATTTGGAAGTGGACGGAAATGCTTCCCATTCCTGTTGAGGAGCTGAAAGAAAGTGAGGCGAAGACACAGTTTCCAAGCAGTTCCCGCAATCGATTGTCATGCGTGATGCGTGTTCTCCTGTGACCAGTAACGGATAAGTGACTCTTCGACAGTGAAAAAATGCTTAGAGGGCCTTGAGAACACTTCGAAAACCATCCTTGACATCACAGAACTTCACGGCACAAACCCTTCGGATCTGCCGACAAACCAATACCCTGCAGTCACCATTAGCCACTGGTTCACATCATCACATTCGACGTATTAATATTATGAGAGAACCCAGCAGCTATGAATACCAACAAACGCCATGCAACAAAAAAAAACGGAAAAAGCAGTGTAACAGGAACAGGACACAAAATCAACACACATTTAATTACCCTAATTAGGAAACAGCAATTGTAACTTTTCAAATTTGATTAAGCTTGCTAGAAAATTGCAAAAATTGAAAATAATAGCAAAAATATTTATTTATAATAATACATTTTTGCTGTTTTTGAAATATTTCCTAAACCTTGTTTTCATTTGTGCTATTTTTTGCTCTTTCGCAACTGCAGTGGAGCGACGATCTCGCGCCACTGCAGTTGCGAAAGAGAAAAAAATAGCACAAAAGAAATAAGGGTTAGGAAAAATCCCCGCAGTGCTATGAAGTTTCGGGTTTAAATAGAGAAGATATATGTAATTATCACCTTGCTAGTGTAACTAACTACTGTATCGGAATGTCGGTTGTTCACAAAGCATGGACCCTCGTTGTTCTTGTAATTCAACATGCAGTGGACATAGTCGTAATCACTGGGATCAGTATCAGGTCATATGGAAGGAGCCCAAATTGTGGCTTTTTCTACCACTGCTTGCTTCCCTCCTCAACCGACCACTATTGATGGAGAGTACAACCGGCGCGGAGCTCATTCCGCGTATCTTGAAACTGCCCATAGTGATGGCGAAGTCAACTATATGAGTACGAATAGACTGGTTCCAGATATGGACACGCCATGGCCGCAGACTGTGTCCGCGATAGTTACCGTTATAACGTTGCCTTTATATGTTATTATAATGATTCTAGTGATAAGTCGCAGAAAGTTCACACCATTTTATGTGTTGGTGCTTTCACAGGCAAGGATAACGTATTTGGTCTGTTTACTAGGCAAAAGTGATTGGTATTTTAGGGCGCTGCTGATATTTTGTCATCAATCAATTATCTCTTATTCAACTGGCTTCGTGATTCCCAGCTATTTAACATGTTTTACTGGGAACATCGACAACTTCTCGCCAATTACGACTTTCGAAGTGGTTGCTTCTTCTTCTATCTTAGAGATGTTGGAATCACTTTGATGTCACTGCAGAGATACATTTCTGTGTGTCAGTCTGGAGGAAGAGTTGAATGGGTATCTATTCAGCTGATACATTTAATTTAGTTTTCCTTTTTTCCCACGAACAACGTAGAAAACAGCGAAGTTATTTCTTTGGAAAATCAAAAGCTTCCTTGAAGTTTCAGCTATGAGAAAAACTGAACTGACTATTCCTCCGCATGCATTAGGCCTCAAAACTAACTTGAGGAAAAACAAAATGGTTTTGGTTTTATTCTGTGGGTGTGCAAAAAGTAACAATCCCTGCATGTTAGGGGTCTCGTATCGAATACACTAAGAGAAACTCCAGTTCTTGCAGCGCAGTACCGGAAGGAAGGGGAAACGTATTAGGTCTGAACTTTCTGAAGGTGGTTCTTCGTGTACCATGCGCGCTATAAACAACATTCGGATTTCCTTTTGAGGGGTGAGGGGTCGTTCTTGATCGTCGCATTCACTCCGATGCAGCATTTTGACGTATGCACTGCAACTAGTTGGTGGGATAGTTGGAACTTGAAGTTGTTCGGTAGCGACGGCCTTTTTGGGGAAGGGGATGGTAGCAGAGGAACTTCGATGAAAATGAAGAATTTCGGCGAAGGGAAAGTGAAAGAATATATCGCCAAAGTAAATTTGAATGAACCCGCCAAATTTTTGAGATGATCTCTTAATATTCTGGAAATGCTGACGAACGGAAACTTCTTGTAGGAGCAGTTCGCACTTGACACTTTTTCAGGCTCTTTCGAGGATGCCAGTCTTCCTCGTTGTTACTCTCCACTGGGCTATTGGACTTTTGATGACGTTACCGCTATGCCAGCCGTCCCTTGTTGTGACTTATGAACTGAAAGGCGAGATTGGAGATTTCAATATCTCCAGCGTTATTGGCGGTTTGTCAATTGGATATTTACAGAACGACTATCTATTGAATGTTTGCAACATAATCGAGCCCAATCTCTTCGTATCTGTTGAAAACAAATTGTACGCTGACTTCCGAGGACGGTTCCGTCCACGCGCAAAGTGGATAGATTGATTGCTGCTCAACGTGCCATTTTCTCGGTTAAATGTATAGGGGAGCACGTTGGAGGGTAGTGATGCCTTTTTGTACACGGTCCGCGTTATTCCTTTATGTGCAGGTCTTGCGTCGGTGTCAAAATCCCGCAGGGAAATATGCTTACAGCGGTAGAAAACAATCAGAAGGCAGAGGGCGCAAACAAGTAGCGTATTTAGCCGTAGGTAGCGCAGGCGGAGCACGAAATGAAAATTTCTAAACAAGGCGAAAGTTTATCTTTTATTTTCATACCTACAAGGTTGTCATGGGGTTTGTTGTCCTGCGCTTTAATCAAATAGACTTGGGTCAAAGAGCTTTCCATTTCTTTCGACTACTCTTCAGCGCCACTTTTGAGAATGTCATGCGCCAAATGGGATATGAAGACATGGGCGGACGGCAACTACACTATCTCTGCTTCGCTGAGATTCTCATTACACTAAAAATCGAGTAGCAGAGCGAATGCTGGCTGATTTCAACTGCGTGTTGAAAAATCGTTTTGCAGCTGATTCTGGAAAAGACGATGTTCATGAAGGATGGATTGACTCCTGAAGCTCCATCCTTGCTCGACGGAAGGGTGGGGAAAACTCACTATGATAAACTACGTAGCATCGTGCTCCCATCAGTCCATCATTCTTTCCCCCTTCCCTCCAAATCGTTGCGAATCCTTTACAAGACTGATGATAAGCCACTCTAATGGTTGCTTCGCAAATGGTCGTCTGCACAATCCGAGCGGGGATTCACGCCAATAGGTCTTCTTCTCCTGCTCGTTGGATTCGCGGGCATGCTCTATTGTGAAGCTGTTTATCACGGGTAATTAGCCACTCTGACAATCACTTGAGGCACCGCCATTACAGTAAGGAAGGAAGCTATCCTGCATTATAAAGACGCTCGGCGTCATGTTGCTTCCGCCGCTTGCTATGGGAATAGAGTACAGCATAGTGACGTCTGACATTTCGCCCCGAGTTCCTCATCAACTGGGACCCTTTCCTTATCCTGTTTGAAACATTCTCAGGTGTTTCTGACTTCTCATACTCGTTCCAAGCTTCAATTCCATACTCGTTTCAAAGATTTGGTGAAAAAGAACTACGTTTCGCTCGTTTGAGCTTTGATGAAGATGCTTTAGAGCAATATTTGTTCAAATTGATTTCCTTACTTTTCGTTCGACAACTTCAGCGCAATTTCAGCTTGCAAATATAATACTACTCATACCGTGTACTGTATTTTTCGCAACCTGCATTATCTGCTATGCTCTTATTTTCATTTATATTCTACAGAACAGCTACCAGAAAAAACAGTGAGGAACCTTTTGCTCGGAAAGTGGAGCGTTGAATCAGACATGCTCTGAAAAGTGGGTGCTATTCATGTGGGTAATCTTTCAGGAGGTTCAATCGGAATGAAGTGCGCCTCTGCGGGCAAGTAGCTGCGCTTGTAGTAGCCTTCTTGGCGCAGTTTCTGTACAACGGTGGTGTTTATATACTCAACAGTCGCGGACAGGTGAATAGATTTATCGACAACTTTTCGATAACACTGAGCTAGGTCTCTTCTACACATTTTCATTTTCAGTTTTCTTGCTTAAGATTTATGACCGGCGCACGACCCCAATAGAGCTAGCTAATTTGTAGAACATCAGCTTCCACGACTACTGCCAACGGCTTCCCTTCTGTAATGTCTATCTCGAACCCTAGATGATATGTTGGAGCCAAAGTCTAGCTGCAGCTGAGGCGAAAAAAGGAAGGTGGACAGGAAATTCCTTCCATAACGTCCTCAGCGATCTTCATCTTGAACATGGACTGGCCCACAAGACATTGTATGTACCACATCGCAGTCAGTGAACCTCTGCGATTTTGAGTGAAAGCGGATGGGGTGCCGCGTCCCGAAGAGGGGTCATTCAACAGCGGAAGTTATATACCTTACCCACCTTATCTAACCATTGCGTACTACAGTTGAAAACGTATCCCGAGTATTCTTGAAGTTCATGAAGTTCACTCGTAACACGAAGCCAGTATTAGATCACACATCATGCAGGTTGTACATGAGCCTGGGTACGCGACAAAGCAAGCGCATTCGTGCGCGGCGTCGCTTCCCGCTGGGAGCCCGCGCACATAATGTTCAATGTTGAATCGACTTGCCTGCGCATGAAATCATATCCTAGAGTTTCACTGCTTCAATCGACAAATTGACAAAGTTGTTCCCGCGCATCGACGCACGGTGTGCAGCTCGCAACGGACACGATTACCTTCCAGCGGTCCATATGTCTCGTCGTAAACACTTGCACTTTAGTATCTTTTCTCAACAACCCGTTATAATGCAAAATGGTTTGAATGTTCAATTCCAATAACAGGTGAGTGGACGAGTCCACCCGAGTATGAGGAGATTTGGTCCTCTATCAAAGTGATCACACCACCTTCGCGAGTCGAAAGTCCCTTTCAAGCTACTCGCTTCCGAATATACCACAAAATCACCAGTAGGGCTGTGATCGTTGATCTCAGTCATTTGTGAAACCCCACTCCCTTCGTCCTGTGGTGTCTGTTCAAGTGCTCATAGTTTCTTCAATGGACACTCTTACAGTACTCACTACAACCTATAAAAAACCCTCAATAAGGGCGTCTCTATAGCTCCTTTTGCTTTTTTATCCGAGGAACGGTTCTTAATATCTGTGGTCTCACATTTTAACACTACTACCGCCGACTCGGACTGATTCTACAAAGTTAAGATCGATACCAGAGGTCAAAAGGATTATCACGGTCAGACAGACAGTTTATCAATTAGTTTTCTTGAGAACCCGGTAAACGAATAGCTAAACGAATAGCCTTCTCCCAAGGTCCTGTGAATAATACTTGATGTTATCTGCATCCTGAGACGTTACAGAACCTATCTAGCTGGAGAAAAATGGGACCACTAGTATCTGTTTTATGTCTTGTGTGCACCCGTGGTCATGTTTAGCCTTCAATTTGGATATAAGACGCAGTGTTGTCAATCTGTTTCGTCGTTGCTTCGGATGCAAGGTAAATACATTTGTATGAACTGAATGACCTAGAATTCTTTCGAAGAACTGCTTGATAACGAGGTATTCCAGGAAAAAAACGTTTCTACTACTTCTATCATAGTCTTACCGGTATCAAAATCGAGATAATTATAAATGCTTTCGTGGGTGATTATTACTGTAGTGTAGACCCTTTACATGATTTAGATGAAAATCTCTGTCTCTGTAACTTTTATGTGGAAATATCCTTTTGAAAATAAAGTTTCAGACTCTGCGCTGTCTATAAATAGTTCCACATGTGCGTTAGAACGTTGATGCAGACCAGGTTTTTCCGAAACTTCACATACCACGTTATTGCCAGCTGCACAGCCTGCAATAGGTTGTTTTCATAACTACCGTCAAACTTGTGGAGCCTTTTGTCCCGTGGCTCTTTGTAGCCCTTCTGTGCAGCCAACAGTTTCCATTGCTCCTTCAAGTTCTACAATGCGTTAGAAAACTGAGAGCTTCTCCTTTTTCAAAAAAGGAGTGCACAAGCTCACACACATTCACTTTCGAGGGTGGAATGAGTATCTCTAACCTATTTCACCTTCCTTTAGACCAGTGGCGAACGAGAAAAGTTTGAAATTCAGTCGAAATGTTCGGTTGCCACTATGGTCTAAACCACATAACACCTGGCTGATGTAATACAGACAATTAGGGTACGTGCGAAACGATGAACAATCTCTTTGCCTGACTGCTCCTCCCTCAATATTTCCCACATATCCGACCAGCATAGTCAGTTATTTTTGGTCAATGTACTGTGGGCTATGTGCGAACTGGGCCACGAACAAAGAAAAAAAACCAAAGGCTGGAAACGTTCTGGATGACTCTCGTGTTGGTTAAATTTTGCACGGGCACACAAAGAAAAGCACTGAGTGCGCTAGAGAGAAAGAGGCCAAGAAACGACGAGTTAGCACATACAGTTCGTGCAGCCTTCCCACCAGTGGCAGTTTCCTCCCTACATAGTTCACTGCTCGATCACCATTGGTAGAGCAAGGCGGCCGGAGCTCGTGCCACGCTGCGCTCACTGCCCCCACGTGGGAGAGACTGAGATCGAGGTCGCGTGATGCTCACGTAACGATTGTGGGTCTTACCCATTTCCACGAAATCCCTCATGACAAAGGAAAATTATGATCCAGGAATCTTCAATGAAGTCTCGG